AGAGAACCCTGTGCAGTGCGGATGCAGAGGGCCACAGGGCGGCCCGCCCACCCTCCACTAGGAGGCGCAGTTCTGGCTCAGTATCGGGGAAGGCAGGTACACTGGTAGCACTTGCAAACTACAGACAGTAGCACAGTACACAGCCAGCCGTTTCCCAACTTTCAGACGGAAATGAGCAGAGGACAGAGAGAAAGAAGTGTTGAAGATGAAAAACAGAATTAAGAGTATCTGTATACTTCTTAAATCAAGGCAATATTATGCATATATATTCATTCTCAGAATTACTGCGGAATATTATGGTGATCGTGAGCCACCAATTACACTGCCCCTGTAAAGTGGGGGAAATACAGGAAAGGAATGGTCAGGGAGCTTTGAGTGACTGCCTCTACTCTTGGGGAGGTCAGGAGGACACACGGTAACCCGGGTCAGTTCCTGAGGGGGTCTGAGTGGAGAACTGGTAGATACCATCCCAGAACATGGGTACCTGCCATGCCAACAGACAGAGATGCATGCCCACGGCTGGAACGCTTTGGATAGCAAGAGTAGGGAGCCACGAGGGCAGGTCAGACATGTCTACAAACGGACCCATAGGAAGGTGTGTGGGTAGGACCGAGAAGCAGTGTATGTGTTTCCCAGAGACTGGAAGGGGGTGGTAAGAGGCTGGGAAGGGCGTGGCGCGGGGCTGGGACCCTGCTTCCCACGTCTGAGGCCCTGGGATCAAGCCCTGGCATCCAAAACATAAACTGAAAAGGAAACGTGGACATGAGCGGAGAGGCCATGTTTCCACTGTGCTCTGGAGCACTGTTGTGGAAGAAAGACAGCAGTGACGATGACCGTAAGGGGGACGCTATGGGAATAGAAGGTCAGCCAGGATAGGAGGCGCGGCGGAAAGCAGTCCACTAGCCAGGGACACACAAGTCAGTGTTCGAAGGGGGCTTAGGTGTAAAATGAGGGTCGCCTCAGGAAGCAAGTTTCACACCGAGAATCGTTGTCAGTCTCCTTATGGGTAAACTGGGAAGCCCAGTGATTTCCAAGTTAGCTGGGTATCAATTCTCGTGTAACAGCAGGAGAAATCCTGATCAAATGGTGATACTCTAGCAGTCCTGCGTTTTTTTTTAGAACTAGGGTTGGAAGGAAGTTTTATCAAGTGTCATGAATATGGATCCCAATGAGCAGTTGGTCTCAAGTCACAATAAAAGATGGAGATAAATTTGACTTCCTCAAAGTTGTATATTTAATACAGAAGATAAACAGTCAATGTGATTGACATAGTGATGTGGAGACCCACAGACTCAAAGATGAGTTCTAGTGCCCAGTTCATCAGAATCCTGTGGTTGCTCAAGTTTAAACTGATGTTTAAGGAAGTGTAGGGAGAAAGCTGAGAATTAAAGATATATGATAAGAGTTGCTTTGCAGTTGACAACATCCATAATAGAAACAGAAGAATATATATATATATATATATATATATATATACATACACACACATACACACATATATATATATGTATACAGTTAAAATTTATCTTGGTATGACTGCTGTCTGTTGAAGAATTTTAAAGTGAGTTCTTCAAAGTTGTGGAATAGTTTGAGATGATGAGAAATATGAGGGAAGGTCTGTGTTCCATAATAAAATAATACAGGAATTAAAATGTTTCTGAATAGGTAACCGAGTAAGAATCCAACAGAGGCAGTAGGGAGATTCAAAGTGGGGAAGTTGGTCAATGGTGCATAGACAGTATACATCATTAGTGATGCAGTGAATAACTCAGAGGAAAGAGAGTCTAGGCACAAATAACTATGGCAAGGAGGAAGGGGAGGCATCCCTGCATGTGTCTGAGTTAGGGGGGAGGTTCTTGGGGCAAGATCCTACGGAGGATGGAATTAATGAAGCCTTTTGATATCAATTAGATTTTTCCAGAAATTAACTGTCATTTAAGGAAGTTAGGCTCACGCCTGGCTGCTGGGTTAAAGTAGGATGTTCAGTTGGTATGGATTTTTGTATACCTACAGAGAGGGAGTTAGAAAGCTTAAAGATAAAAGATAAGAATCATTGGCGAACAGCTTTCTAAAGAAGAGTGGAGGATGTTTTTTTTTTTTTCCTTGAACTGTGCAAGCCGACTTTAAAGAGGACAAAGGGGAAAACTGACAGAGCTATTGTTGACACTTTACAACTATCTACTGAGCATTTACTATGTGTCTGGAACCGTGCTCATGACCATACTTATTTCATTTCATCCTCCTAACAACCTACGAAAGGCTTACAGAAATCGTAACTTATCCAGAATTTTACAGCACAGCATTATAGAGCAGAGTCAGAATTCAAATCTCCCAATGTTTAACTCTATAACCTACATTCCCATTATGCTATACAATTTTCAAATGGAAGGAAATCACAATCTGTAATTTCTGTTTTTCCTTCTGTGATTGTAAGGAAAATAAATTTTCCAAGCTGAGACAAGGTGATATATAGATCTTCAGCTAATTGGCAAAATTCAGAATATAGCAGTGGAAAAATGCAAAACAAGGAACTGGGCAAAAGCCCGTTTTGTTCCCAATTTATGCCCTGTGTTCACTTCTATTCATTGCACAGCTAAGACTGGGGATTGCCCACAAAAAAAAAATCTCAGAATTTCTGGCAAAGACTAAACAAAGAATAGAAAGGAGTTTGTTTTTAAGCAGGTATATGATGTGTCAAATATAAATCGACAATTAACAAAGTTTTAAAAGTCTAATTGTTAAGGGAAAAAAATGCTATTTCTTTTCTCCAAAATGCATTATACAAGTTTATAATGGAGTTTTGGCAACAAGCAGAAACCCTCAATGGGAGAGAAAAATTCTTCAAATGCCAAATTTTTTAGAAACAACATGCCAACAACCATCAAGCAAAAGGGTCCGTAGCCAGCAGACCCAAGGTTGGAACCTCTGGTCTCATTTTTAAGACCTATGTTTAAAGAGAAACGAACTCCTTAGCGTAAGCGTGAGAAAAACTCTCTTAATACTTGTTGGTAGAAATGTTTTCTGTCGTTGTTGTACTGTATGTAACTTCTGTGATCTCAATATTGTTCCGTGTATCTTGATGTTGTAAAGCTGTATTTCCTGTGTTCTGTTACGACCACTCTGTGGGGTGGGGGTGCTGAGTTATCAGTTATCCCAGTGGACCTGGGGGCCTGGGAGGAGCTAGGACCCTCAGCCGGGAAGCATCTGATTCTGCACGGACTCAGCAATGTGTTTCCCTCGAAGATTGATGTGGTGATGTTATGGTACCCCTTGCGAAAGAAAAGCAGTCTGGGGGGGGGGGGAGGGGCATTGGGGGAACGGCAATTTGAAACAAGGAGATACGGTGACAAGAAAAATCTGTCAGGTGAAGAGCATGCCAGGATGGCAGCAGAGGCCGCAGGGCGCGGGCGAGAGCAGGCCCAGACGCGGGTTTGGAACAAGGGGGACAGGGAGCGAGCGTTACCCAAGGGGACAGGACTGACGGGGTGGGAGAGTCAATTCAGAGCGCCTAAAGCAGAAGGAGGGAGACTCGGAGAGCATATCGAGCTAAAGGGAAGTAGAGCTCGAGGAATGCCATCCAAGGGTTAAAGAGAAGGCCAGGTTAATAAGGCAGATGGCCTGTTCCCCGGTGGGGGAAATAACGGCAGGCCACAGGGGCAAGTGCCTTCCTGCTCAGGGGGTCTGCGTGGGCCCAGGGTGGCTGCAGAGATGAGGTGAAGGCCCACGCAGGGCCCGAGGGAACAATCTGGGGAACAACCAGTCCCAGCCATGGTGCCAACTTGAATCTACCTCGTGTTCGAGTGCGTGGCCTGGTCTATCGTCCACCACTGACAAGGCTGGGCAGGGGCTCCCAGAGATGCTTGGAGAGGGGCCGAGGAGAGGGGTGAGACCCAGGCAGCTAAGCCCCAAGGGGAACTGAGTGAGGACCAGGGATAACTCGTTACTAAGTACTTTTACGATTTCTTGCAACTCTGTAACTTCCTCAGTATTTGTTCATTTTGTTAACTTTCACCTGTTTTTATTTTTCTGTAAGGCTAGTAGTAAACAATGTTTTTTCCTGTACTAGTAATAATAATAATTAAAAAAAACCTGTTCAAAAACGTACATGTGATGTGTGTGCTTATTTCTGGAAAAACTAGGTCACTACTGCAGATCACCTTGAAAATGGGCAGATATTAAAAACTGGGGAGGGGTGGGGGCATGAAACGGGGGAAGAACAAAAACCTGACACCCACAAGAGAGAGCAGGAAGGCCCCAAACCCTCAAATGCGTGCTTACAGCTGTTTTTACTGCCACTCTGTCAGAGACCCCCCTGCCCCCCCCACCACTGCAAAAGAGAGACTCATACAGACATTTGTAACTCTGGACACACAGATTATTGGCTGAACATTAGGCAACATCTGCTCGGAGGCAGCCTTGTGCTACAGGGCCCCCAGAAAGGACGGATTCTAAGCTGCTACTGATTTCCTAACCGGAAAGTCCTTCACAGATGCCTCTGGGAGCAGCCGGTCCCAGTTCTTCAGGCCTGCCAGACCGCTCTATGGTCGCCCCCCCCTTTTTTCTTTCTTTTTGAAAGGTGGCGGGGGGGGGGGGATCACACCTGGAGATGCACAGGGGTTGCTCCTGGCTCATCCACTCAGGAATTACTCCTGGTAGTGCTCGGGGGACCATATGGGATGCTGGGAGTCGAACCTGAGTTGGTCACGTGTGCAAAGCAAACGCCCTCCCCGCTGTGCTATTGCTCCAGCCCCAAGCCGGCTTCACTTGAAGACTCAACAGCCAGCCTAGTTTTCTGAGTTGTAGCTCTAAGATCACTGTTTCCACGGCGGCCATGCCCCGTTTTGTGGAGACACACGTCAGTGTACAAAGACCAATATGAGCTGGACCTTTAGCTTTGGGAAAGAACAACAGTCGTGCAGCCCCAGACACTGTGTCACATGGTTTTCGAGCCCCAGTGGGAGGGTGTGCTTGCTCAAGTGACCGCCCCTGCCCTGCCCTGCCCTGCCCTGCCCGGGGTGAGTACCTGCGGCAGAGTCATCCTCAGGCAGACGAAGCAGCGTGTAGCAGATTCCTGGCTGGTTGTAAGCGAGGCTGGGGGCGGGCACATAGCACAGCACCTCGTAGGGCTCTGACGGCTCCACCTGCACCGTCACTCTCTCCAGAAGCTGGTCGTAAAGTGTGTTGGTGCAGTCGAACTGAAATGCCGGGCACATAGGGGAGCTTGTGAGGCACAAGCACTGTTCTCTGAGCACCCTGTGTCCTGCCGGCAGCCAACCCCACAGCCTGGCCCCAGCTCAGCTCTGGAACATCACACAGTCTGCGGGACCCCTTCCCTGTTGCATGTAGCTGGCCCTGGCATGATCCCGGACGCCCCATGTCCCCCTGTGCACTGCCAGGTGCAGCCCTAGTGGTCCTTGGCCCCTGCACTGAACCGCTGGCCTGGTGAGCCATGAACTGCGGGGAGGGGTCCCCACTTTCCTAAGCACAACTTCAGAGGCCTTTCCCCCAAAATAGACTGTACTGTTGGTCTCCTAAGATTCATCTTTAGACAGAGAGACAGCTCTGGTTTCTCTCTTTTTTTTTTTGCTTTTTGGGTCACACCCAGCAATGCACAGGGGTTACTCCTGGCTCTGCACTCAGGAATCACTCCTGGCTGTGCTCAGGGGACCATATGGGATGCTGGGAATCGAAACCGGGTCGGCTGCGTGCAAGGCAAATGCCCTACCCGCTGTGCTATCGCTCTGGCCCCGATAGCTCTGTTTTTTTTTTCCACCCCATTTACATTATTCATCAATTCATTCTTTTTCCCAAGCCTGAATTTACCTGGGATGGGAGAAGTCTAACAGCTATCAGAGAATCCCTCTGGAATCCAAGTTCCTAGAACAATCAACTAACTTATCCTGTTAGATTAAATGAGGACGATCTATATTTCAGATACTACAACATGAAGTCATATACTTCATATTGCCCAACTTCAGACACTTCAGTTTTGTGTCCTTTAGATTTTAACCATCAAAAGATACCCATCATCTGAAAGCATTTCTGTAGCTAAGGAATTGGGGGGTTGTGGGTGGGCGAATAGGACAGAAACAGAAATGCTATCGAGTTACTTCTCTCTAAAGGAACAAGAAGCACAGATGAAAGGGAGCATGCACGTAGCCACTGATGGTGCATCTCTCACCTGGAACACAATGTGATTCGTGAACATGTGCTTGACACAACGCACAGAATACTCGGTCTCTGCCTCTGTGAGCTGTACGGGCTCGGAGGACTTGAACAAGGGCCCAAGAGTCGTAAACTCAGGGATGGCAGCCAGTTGCTCTACCGAGAATAAAAGGGAGAGGAGAGAAGTTAAAAAGCTAAGATGCGAAGACAAGGAAAAACATTAACCCCGGGCGCTTTGGATGGCTAAGCCTCCGTCGCCCCGATACTAGCTGAACACTGAAGTGGTATCAGTTCCCAAGCTTGGGTGACAAAAAAAACAGAAAAAGTTTTTAAAATCAGAGTTTATCTTGTGGATTACTGCAAGTCAACAAAAGAAACTAAATTCCTCCTATCTTAGAATGTGACTTCCCTGTTAAGGAAGACAGTACACGGCATTTCTCGGTTTGGAAATGAGTGATTAGAAAGTGGAACTTTTTCTCAGGGATTCTAGGAAGCCCCTGTAATTGTCACGTAAATCTCTCTCTCTCTCTCTCTCTCTCTCCCCCCCCCATATATATATACACACAATCACAGAATGACCTACTCTGCTGAGAATTCATCAAGTCAACTACATAAGAGACTTCATTCTATATAAAATGCCCAGCTCACACAGTGATTCAGTAGTAAAATCTAAAAAAAAAAAAAATGCCCAGTTCGTAAGACTTTCCCTCCAACCCATCATTCCGTACCTCGGAAAATGTCTTGCCTGGAAGGTGCCAACTTCTCGGGCTTAGTAGTTACCAATGTGATTTCTACAAGGACAAATACAAGCACTCCAGTGAGCAACCCTCCCACTAGCAAGCTGAAAATGCAAACAGGAAAGAGGTGAGAGCAGAAACTTCTAACAGAAACCTATGGACCTACTGTTAAATCATTCCAGTAGGGTCTCTGTCACAATTTTTGGTGGGACACTCACATGTATTAAAAGGAAATAGGTTGGAAAAATTAGTTTGTGGAATAAGCTTTCTATATTCAAGTCCAAAGATACAAAATGGAGTTAAAATGGGTTAGGACATTTTAAAAAAATTATTCTTAATATGATGAATAAGTATTCTCAGTATTCCAATGGGGAAAACTATTTGCATGGAATCAACAGAAAACTGAAAGTGTTGAGAGTTGTCCATAAGAGCTTTCATTCTCACTGTTAGCCTCCCCAAATTTCCCTTTTTCTTGTCTTTTTGAATTACAAGGTTAGATTTAGGATGAGGGCAGAGAGATAATGTTGGGGTTAAGGTGCTTCCTTGCGTTGCATGCAGCTAACCCCACTCTGACCCCTGCCACTGGACAGGGTCCTCCGAGAACTTCCAGGACCAAGAATAAGCCCTGAGCTCTGGTGGATGTGGTCCCAAAACAAACAAACAAACAAGCAAACAAAAAGTTAGATTCTGGAGGGAATTACAATTTTGTCCTATATTTCTTTCAAGACAAACATCTTATAGCCAAATGGAGCAAGCAATGATCAACTTCAGAAAATGTTTTAAAAGGAGGGTATAATGAAATTATTGATCTGAGATCCAGGGACAATTCTCTGAAAGTGCTGCAACAGTTGGCATTAAAAAAGAAAAAACAAAAACAATCAAACAAAAATCATCAACCTTCCAATCTGACGAGGGTCACAGTCTTGTATATATGTGACAACCAGTAGGATTTAAAAAAAAATTGAAAAAAAAAAAACAAAACTAACAAAATAGCCACTTTAATTCTATGATTAGGAGTGCCAGACAAAAGCATTGCTAGAGGAAATATGCTAATGGCTACAAAACCAGTTAAATACAGAAAAACAGAGTCCACTTACCAGTTTTCTGTTCAAAGACAGGAGTCATAGCAAGAGGAATCGACTTCATGTCAAAGGGCTTTTCTGAAGGCTCCAGTGTGTACTGGTGTAATGCTTTTTCCATCCCTGGCACAGAGACGGTCAGGCCTGTGAGACAGAGAAATCTCAGTATTACAGCCTTGCCAAGCCTAGGATCCAGACAGGACTAGATTTGTAATATTTATCTAAGCTTTCTGAAGGAAGAGACCAACATAACCGCACAATTTATAACTCAATTATAAAGGCTAGCATATAAAACTGCCTTATAATTCAAGGAAGCAGAGGAATGGATCATAAAAATTTTCAACGAAACCTAAGTATCTTCCAAAAAAGAAAGCAGCTTGGTCACCTGGCAACAGCAGCCTCAGAAGGGAAGGGGGGGGGGCGGGGGCGGGCGTGACACGGAGCCAAAGGGGGAACGAGCCATATTCCCAGGGCCCTCAGAGACTTGAGGTTTCCAGAGAAACGGAAATACATTCAAGAAACAGAACCCAGGCATTCGGCTTCCTGAGCTCAGCGCGCCTCCTCGGAGACCTGCCCCCGAGACCCTGGTCTGGGGAGAGGAAGGCGTCTGTGACCCTGGCTCTCACGCACCATTGAAGATGTAGGCAGCGTTCAGCGCCGTCTGCCTCTGCTGCAGCACGTTCAGGTAGAAGGTCGCTCTGTCCCGGACCTCGTCGTCCGTGTCCATCATGCACCTGCCCGGGGAGACACGTCAGGCACGTCACGGCACCCTACAGATGACCAGCAGCTAGGACAGGGTAGGGATTCGGGCACGTGCCTGGCATGTGGCTGACCCCGGTTTAGTCCCCAGAACCACATGGCCCTCGTGACCCCACTCCCTACCCAGCTCAGCAGGGCTGACCCTGGTCACACCTGACACCACAGATGCCAAGCAGTATGGCATCCTTGGGTCCTCACACTGAAGCACCAGCCCAGTTGGACCAGAACCACTGGCAGACCCCATCCCCCAAGCATCACTTGGAGGAACCCCCCCCCAACCCCATCAATATGGAGAATAGTACTTACCATTAGACCTACAGAACTCAATTCAAGCTATCTGACAATCAACCACCTTTATGAAAGAGTCAAGAGTGGATCCCAAATCTTCCACAGATCTTGGGTACTAATTTTGATTAGTAAAATCGTGTCAATATAAATCAGACACAATATAGTAAAATAACTAGGGTCCAATGACATGAGGCAACCTTTACCTCCTTTGGGAGCCTTTACTGGATCTATAACCTCTTTACCGCAACAACAACAACAAAAAAGGTGTGGGGTGGGAGGTTAAGGGGGTAATAATACATTTTACAAGGACACCAAAAAGCTTTCAGAATCCAAGCATTGTTAACTACGCGAATGGCAATTTGTTTTATTTAAAACAATTGGCCTTTGGCTTATAATTCTTCAGCTTCAATTACAGGGGGTACTTCAGAGTGTTTGCTAACGGAGCTCTTCACCTCCTCAAGACGGGAGTGATGGAGACCATGAAAAGCTGGTCTTTTTCAACCCCTTATGGAGAGTCACTTTGAACCTGGTCCCTACTCAAAAGCAGCAAATATATGTAAGTCTCTTTCCTAAGTCCACACGTAAGAAATTAAAAGTCAAATTCTGCCTTCAGTTGGGACATCTGAAATTCCGAGGAAAAGATGGAAAATACAGAAAATACAGTCTGCCCTGACGTGCCCCACCAGTGTTGCTATCAAACCTTGGCGGGGCGGGGGGGAGGGGTTAAAAAGGATCCGATGGGACAGGACCAGCCTGTCGCAACTGAGCCGCGTGGACTTCTTTAAGAAAGAAGAAATAAATGGGGTGGAGAGAAGACATTCTTTTACTGACCTCTGTAAGAGTACAAGGATGCTTGGGAGAAGACTCTCATTCTGAGCCCCAAACTTAGCCAACGCACTCACAGCCGCTACAAACAAAATGCAAAATGAAGCAGTATTGAAATATTGGTTTCTCAGGGTTAAGTCATAATAACTAGAAAAAAAAAACATCAGGAAGGGCCAGAGTGACAGTACAACAGGTAGGGCGCTTGCCTTCCCTGAGGCCAACCTGGGTTCTATTCCTGGCACCCCATTTTGCACTCTGAGCACTCCCCCCCCCCCCCCGCCCCGTGCCCTCAAGGACTGATCCCTGAGTGCAGAGCCAGGAGTAAGCCTCAGGACTGCTGGGTGTGGCCCAAACCACCCCCATCCTCACCCCCACCCCGCCCCCACCCTGCCAAACAAGTTGGGAGAATCCTCCCCATGTTTGTTGGGAAAGGGTCCTATTATTCCGCTATTTATTGTGTTTCCTAGTTTTATTTCTTTGATCTGTTTCAGCATAAGCAGAATTCTGCAGGCCACTAGAGGTCTGAATTTGAAGTACATTCTTGCATTAAGAACACTCCCCCCGCTCCAATATCTCTAAGTTATCCTCCATCTATCACAACACCCTCTAGGCCACCTGGAAAAATTCAGCCTTCATCTCCAATGACTGCCTACAAGCTAAAAAAGAAATGCTTATTACCAAAACTGACATTCCCTCAACAAATCTTTAGCTAATGTTTATTAGAAATTGGGTTGGGTGCTGATGGGAGAAAGTTAAGACGCTGACCTCAAGGAGTTGTATTAGTGGGAGAAAGAGAGGTGAGTAAGGAGATAAATTCCAATAACAGAGTAAGCATGACAGATAAAGGACTGCATGTGAGCACAGACAAAGGAGCTTAAATCAGAATGAGCTGAAGCAGTAAGGTAAGGTGCTGACACTTAGTACTTGTGAAAAAATTTAAAGAACAAGTAGAGTTAGCCAGAGGGAAAAAGACAAGAGGAAGAGGATGAGAGGCAGAGAGGATGAACAAGAACCAAGCAAGAAAGCACTGGGACTCTGGACACAGGATGTGGGTTAGAGAATCAGAGGAGGTACGAGCCTGGAGAGCAAATGAAAGTCGGTCATGGTTTAATTTCAAAGTTAGGAGGAAAGGATGTCGCAGGCAGAGGGTGTGTCTGGAGGACCATTTTCATAGCAGAGTGAAGAATAGATGAACTGAGGATTAGCAGCAGGCAGCGGAGCGTCTAAGGCAGCACTCGGGAAATTAGGGGGGCAAATAGAGAAAGAGCGAGAGAGAGAGAGAGAGAGAAAGAATGGGGAAATTTCAAGGAGACACGAGACACACTGATGGGGTTGGGAGAGTGTCGTAAAACCCAAGCACAAAAATGTGTAAGTCTGCAACTGTACCTCACTATTAAAAAAAATTTTTAATAATAATAAAAAAAACTGCATTTTCTGAGTTGCTGAAAAAAGATGATGATTTTGGTTTGGATTAGTTTGAACTTCAAGTTGAATTTTAAGTGTCACAGAAAGCTGGACATACACTTCAGGCAAGAGATCAGACTGCAGTGTCCCGAGCCTGACAGTGGTCACTGGGAGGATGAATATGCAGAGAAAAAAAAAAGCCACCAGAGATGTGCTTAAGAACAGCAAGCCAGTCCTTCGAGGGGGTCGATTTTTTTCTTTTCCACCCCCCCCACCAAAAAAAAAATTACAGAATACTCTTCTGAGAACTTTCATTATTCAACTTATTCAACTGATCTTATAAAAAAAAGAACCATTGTGTGCTCCAAGGAAAAAGGGTCACGGTATTTGAGTCAATAGCACATTAGCCTAAGATGTGAAAATTATAAAAGCGCCTGACTTGATTTTCCAGCTATCTTATAATAATTTTTTAAAATGTTTCAGGGGCCAAGTAGCTTACACCTGCTATGTGTGAGGAGGCCCCAGTTTCAAGCCCTGACAAGATACACACACAGTAAAAAGTTTCCAGTGTTACTCAAGAGACAGCAAACTAGATTCTGATAAGTTGAAGAGAAAACAGAAACTGCTCCTGAGGGGAAGCTAGTAGTAATGGCCGCTTCAAGCTTCTCTGACAAAGGAGGGGAAAGTATACTGGCAATGGTCGAGATGTAGACCCGTTCACAAGCGAAGGAAAAGGAACATTAGATAGAAGTTCTGAAGACCTATTAAGAGAAAGTCACTTCATATTTCTCACACACACACACATGCGCACACACTTATTTCACACATATTGTGGATGCTGCCACCACCATCATATTCCTGACATACTAGCAGTTCAGGGTTTCTGTGTCCCTGATCTAAGGTAGAAACAAGGACGGTGGCTGGGGTCCAGCTAGGAACTGTGTCTCAGGTGTCTAAACTCCCTACAGCATCCACGGGAACTTGGAACTCCCCTTTCTGATTTCACACTGCCCCCCTGTGGGCCCCCTTCTGGAGGACGGTGGTTCAGAAGGTGAGCAGCTGCCCGGAGGTCAGAGACCCTGGCCACTCACCCGCGCGCACAGCCTCGTTCTCCAGGACGACCCTGTTGAAGATGAAGCGGATGTACTTGGAGGGCACAGGCGTGCGCGGGCCCTCCTTGCCCAGCAGGTGCAGGATCTTCGTGGCCAGGACCGTGTGCTCACAGTCCTCGATGAACTCGCACAGGTGGGCCAGCCCCGCCTCTTTACTGTCGGTGTTCTCCTCCACAATGCTGATGATGCAGTCCACGATGGCGCGCTTGTACTCGAAGCCTCCCTGCCAGGGAGACAAAGAGTCAGTGCCCTGGGTGCTCAGCATCCTCTGGGGAGAAAGGCTGATGCCACCCCCCCCCCCCCGCCCCAACAGGCGCCTGTAGGATTCATTCATGTTTGTTTCCCTTCCCCTCCCTTAGGGAAGCAGCGAAAGGGAACCAAAGGCACCGGCAGTGCCGTTTTTCTATGGCAGGGAAAGCCACCGCGCAAGGGCGCCTGCAGGAAGGGCAGGATAACCACCAGAATTCTGCAGCCCCAGATTCAAAAGACAGGCCAGGATGATACAGAAATGGGCTTCAGATACTACCCACGGGGAGCTCATGGGGCGCCCGGGGCTGGGAGAGAAGGGCTTCCGAGGGTTAAAAAGTCAGCCACCTACGTCATCCCGGAGCATGTTGGAGAGGAAAGTCATCAGGACACTGTGTTTCCGGGGGTACTTCTGACAGAGCGCTCTAATGGCCTGTACAACCACCACCTGGGGGGAAACAAACACGCCCATCAGTCTCCAAAACAAAACTTTCTCTCTTCTTTGCCGCAAACGCAGAAAACATGCTTTGCAGTTAGTTATCTAAACTGACTATGGTTTTTCAAGAACATAAACAAGGAGACCTCACGGCAGATTTAAACACACACACACACACACACACACACACACACACACACACACACACTATTCTCTTGAATGAGATGCATATAAAGAAGTTTCATTCAAGAGACCAGGTGCAATAGCTGGCAGAAGGCAGGAGTGACAGCTCAGTGGGAAGGGGATTAGCCTTGCAGGAGGTTGATCTGAATTTGATCCCCAGCACCTCAAGGGTCCCCCTGTCCCCACCGGTAGTGATTCCTGAGTGCAGAGCCAGGAGTAAGCTCCAAGAACCGCTGCGTGTGGCACAAAAATCAAACTGAAACAGAACAAGAAACAAAGACCAGGTCCGTTTACTCGAGTAAATAAACACATAAAAATTTTCAAGTGCAGGATCTTGAAAGAGTAAACAGACCCACTTCCACCAGGAAAATAAGGTCCCCAGGACAGCACTTCCCTGAACGTTCCTGGTAGGGAAGTTTTCTGCAGCTTTAAAGACACGGACCATGACGGAAAATGGGTCTGAGGTTTCATCCTCCTCCCTGAAGCTCTGCAGGAGCCTGCCCAGAGTCCAGGGCTCCGAGCAGAAAACACAGAATTCCAGGAATCAGACACGGATGGCCACTGGCTTACTCCCGGCAGTGGCAGGAGCTCGGGGATTTTAGCATGTTAGGGCAGTTTCCTCAGCCCCAGTGACCAGAGGGCGATGCAAAACAGGACCAGATGTGACTAAGTCTGCCATAGGCTGAATTGCAGGGAAAGATCCATGAGGAATGGAACTGGAAAACTCTGCAAGGAACAGTGCAGTCTGTCCTTGGTTCTGAAGGGAAATGTTATCTCTATTGCACCCGGCAGTTGTATGTTTGCTTTTTACTCTAGAGGGAGCACTGACTGGCTAAATCTTCCAGGCATGTACAGAAACCTGCCCTTTTCCTTTGGAGAGGGTCTCTCCTCTCTCTTCTCCTCTGCCTCCCTCCCTCCCACTCTCCCTCCCTTCCTCCCACTCTCCCTCCATGTCTGTCTCTCTCTCTCTCAGATAGCTATACTACACAAAGGGAACAAACTGGAATAGAAGGAAACAGATGACAGGCCATGTTAAACTTTGAAGATGTGCATAAATGCAAGAAATCCAAGGGAACTAAGAGCTGTCTTCTATCCACTGACCAATCCCAAATCTATACAAAGCATTTCACAGCATAAAAAATGAAACTATTAATAAATAATGGTGCAAAAATTCCAATACACAACTTAATCACTTAATCACTTAATCCCCGTTATTCATCGATTTATTCGAGCGGGTGCCAGTAACGTCTCCATTCATCCCGGTTGCGTGCTAGCGTAGCCCAATGGTATCTGTTCGTTCTAGGAACATGCAGAGCCTCAAACCGATCATTTAGGGTCTTGACGAAGAAGTCTGACCATCTTATAGGTGGGCGTCCACGTGATCTTTTGATGTCCCGTGGAATCCAATCAGTAATGGCTCTAGTCCAGCGGTTGTCTGTAAACCTCATTACGTGTCCAGCCCATCTGATTTTTGATGTCTTGGCAAATGAGATAGTGTCCCTGATTCTTGAGCGTTGACGAAGATCAGAACTCCGGATTCTATCTCTCATTTGAGTGAATCGTGATATTCCAAGCATAGTTCTTTCGATTCCTCTTTGAGAGACCCGAATAGTGTTCTCATCCTGTTTTCGTAGGGTCCAGGTCTCTGAGGCATATGTTAATGCAGGAAGAATAGTGGAATCAAAGAGATGTGCTCGTAGCTGGAGGTTCTTTGTCCTTTTAGTTATTATTATTATTATTATTATTATTACACAACTTATGATTATTAATACGAAAATCTAATATACTGGACTAATAGACTCTACTGCTATAGCAAGTGACTAATATACCACAACGAGATGGAGATTTATAGGCAATTCAGAATGGTTTAACACTAGACAACTGATGCACTGATACTATTCATCACACCGATGCGTGCAAAGAGAAAAATCATATCGCTATTGAAGGCCAAAACACTTTTTATAAATTAAAAAGTCCATTCCTAACAAAGCCTTCAAAAATCAAACAAGAATGGAGGTACACCTCTGTTGAGCGCGCGCGCGCACACACACACACACACACACACACACACACACACACACAAAATCCTTTAGAAAATCCATGAGGTATTCCATCTCCATTATTATGAAACATTAATCTGGAAATATCAGTCAATGCAATTAGAGAAAACAGGAGGAATAAAGATCAGGGAATTAAACATTAAAGTATATTTATAGAAGACAAGAGAGACTACCTGGGAACCCTAAAGAATCAATGATAAAACTAATTCAACAAGTTAGCATGGTAGCAGGACACTAAATTAACAAAACTGCAAAAGGCAACACTAGTCATTGTCTTTTATAAAGTATTATATAATAATTAGCTAAAGGACAGAACAGACCCCCCAAAAAAATAAAGATAAATGTACATAAAGATCATTCTTAGAAAATGCTTAGGAAAAGAATTTTTAAAATCCCCAAATATAAACTGTAAGATCATTCTAAAAGGCACAAATGCAGACTAGAACAAATTAAGTTACCCATGTTCTTGGTTAGGATATGTGAACAAGAAACTATCTGTAATCTACAAGTTAAACAGTAAATTTAATGTGTTTCTAATTTTTTTAAAAGCCAATGATGTCTTTAAAAATAAAAATACACAAATTAGTTTAAAACATTAAAAGGAAAAATAAATACCCAGGAACAGCTACAGAAGCAATAAAGATTAAGAATTATTGGGGCTGGAGTTATAGCACAGTGGGTAGGGTGTTTGCCTTGTACATGGTCGACCCGGATTCAATCCCCAGCATCCCATATGGTCCCCTGAGCACTGCTAGGAGTAATTCCTGAGTGCAAACCCAGGAGTAACCCCTGTGCATCGCTGGTGTGACCCAAAAAGCAAAATAAAATAAAATAAAATAAAAAATAAAAAAAGAATGATGAGATAACTAGGATAAACAGATATCATTAATATATCCTAAAAACTTCCATTTTGAAATAGTGTATAGTTCTAATATATAAATAAAAAGAACAACAGAACAGAATAAAAAGCCCATAAATAAACTCAAATACAGATGCATTTTCAGTACATGATAAAGATGATAACGCAAACCTCTGGGGCAAAGACACTCTTCCTGGGCCACACAGGGTGGTCCTCAGGGCCTATTCCTGGCCCTACACTCTGAGCTCACTCCTCGTGGGGCGTGGGGGACTATTTGAGGTGCTAGGAACAGAACTCAGGTTGGCTGCATGTAAGACACATGTCCTGCCGGCCATTCCAGCCCCCCTCCTTTTTGTTGCTGTTGTTGTTGTTTTGCTTTCAAGTCTTTATTATTGCTGTTGCCATCATTATCAGAGATGGAATCTAAAGCGGAAAGGAAGGGCGGCCTCAACAGTTCCCAGTGGTTCTATCCTAGGCCCACACTGCTGAGCAACCTGGCCGATTCGGTGGGGGCTCAGTATCATTCCTCACAAACGGAGCAGTTGCCTGGAATTTGGTAAAAGCGGAGTGAGGGAGGGAGACTCAAGGAAAGGGTGATTCCACTTCTCTGCTCCAGCCCTTGGCCACCTGAACGCAGGCAAATGCCCGGCGCGGGTCAGGACTGTGTAAAGTCTGCCACGACCACTTATACGAAACAGGCAGGAGGGAGTCTACTAGTTTTGCATGGCGTGGCGGGGGGGGGGGGGGGTGACTGACCCCTGCCACCCAACTTCTTGGGGAGCTGCGAACTTAGGTTGGAGCGAGGAACTGCTCTTTGCAGGCCTGAAAGTCAGTCCTAACCGTGGCATGGGCACTATTGCCTTTCCCTCACAGAAAAGAATTTCAGGAGGCGAAATGGTGAAGCAAGGTATTTTTTTATTGACACTTAGGAAAAATATGAAAAGAGAGAAAGAAAGGGAGTACGTGCTCAAGAAAGAAAGCACACAGGCTTCTCCAGAATAGAGAAAGCCCAAAATTTAAGAAAATATTTTTTTGGGGCAAGTGACTAATTATTGGGAAAAAAATAATTTCTGGTATTATACATAACAATAAAGTTCAGAGATACAAATGTACATGAAACTGAACATGTACTAAAAGAGATAGAAATGAATCATTATAACTCATTCAGATTCTATAATCTGAGGAGTTTCTACCTATTTTTTTCTTTCTTTCCTTTTTTTTATGTTTTTTTGTTTTGGGGCCACACCCTTCAGTGTATAGGGCTGATTCATGGCTCTGTTCTCAAGGATCAATCCTAGCAGGGCTAGGGAGACCATCTGGGGTGCCAGGGATCTAACTGAGTTGGCCAGGTGCCAGGCAAGCGCCCTATCTGCTGAACTCTCTCTCCAGCATCTTTATTATTTTAAAGTCAAACACAATTTTTTAAAATGTGACAAATCTGACAATAAAAAATTTGAAAGCAATTTTTTGAACATAGGAAAATCAAATGACAAACTGGGAGAAAAACATCACAGATATATTCCAACTACAGTAACATCCCAAATATACAATTATATAACTGGGTAAAAACTAAAATCCTACAAAACCTAAAAAAGACATGAGAAGATATTCAAAAGGAAACAATAAACTAACCTTAAAATATGAAAGTGTTATTTGCTTCATAGTGAGACATTCAAATACAAACTACACTGAAATGTCCTTTTTCATCCATAAGATTGAGAAAACTTCAAAATATGACACAATCTATTGATGAGGCTATGGAAAATTAGCATTCACACTGCTGATATAATTAAGAATTTTCTACAAAATTACTTCTATATTTACCCTTCATTCTGGCGTATGGTGCCCCAGGAATTTACTTAGGAAGTAAATTTTATGGCTATGCTAGAAATACTGAAAAAACATACATACAAAGTTATCTACCTGCTGTATTATTGATAATTTACTTTAAGATACTTTAAACTGCCTAAATGCTATGCACGGTTGACTCATTCAATAAACTATATTAAAAATGACCTTTATAACATCAAAAGATGCTCCAACGATCCCAAATATATGCCTGGATATAGAGGCTGACTGTTGGGTTCTTAAGTCTAGATATGTACTAAGCAGAGCGTAACAGTCAGTTTTATTACTTGACTAGAAATAAAACTGGGAGAATAAAATCTTTCTACTAGAATTCTTTTATTTTATTCTTTGATTATTTCTGACCAGTTCTATTCAAAACTGCACTGCAAGGCCTAATCATTTTAGTAAGGTAAGAAAAAGAAAAGCACTTGGACTGGAAATAAACAAGTAAAATTGTGTCTACTTACAGAGGATATGACTACTTTGATTCTCCCAAGGAATGCATATAAAAAGTACTTGAATCAATTTTGGGGTATTTAGCAAGGATACCAAATTATTTAAAAAAAAGGCATAAATATGTCCCTGTATATACTAGTAGCAAACAATGAAATGAAAATTGTAATAAAACAGAATTTAAAGGACCATGAAATCTTGAAATACAAATTTAACAAAAGGCACGTAAAGTAATTGCTACAAAAAAAACCAATGCAAAGAAATTATGAATCACCTAATTAATAGGAGAGATATACGTGGGGCAACTGGAGGCATAACTGGAACAATATTACACAGATAGGGCATTTGCCCTGAATGTAGCTGATCAGGGTTCGATCCTTGACAACCCATACGGTTCCCCTCCCTGCCCCCAGCACCATCAGGAATAATTATTCAGTTAGAGCCAGGAGTAACCCCTAAACATCGCCAGAAGTAACCCCTAAACATCGCCAGGTGGGGCCCCAAAACAAAACAAAAACTAAAAAATAAAAATAAATAAAAGAAGCAGCATACCATACTCATGAATTGTAAGATACAAATTTGTCTCCAATTTGGTTATGAACGCCAATCATAACCTTAGCAGGTGAATATATTTTAAGCTGATCTATATTTTATATGGAAAGGCAAGGAAAATGAGAATACTGAAGAACGAAGGACAGTACTGGAAGATCTTACTCCTTGTCACTTAAAAGATGATACCGTAAACCTACCTGACTCAATGAATTGTGGTACTAACACAGAATTGACATTGAAATGTGATAAGGAGCCCAGAAATACCTATAATGAGTATCTTCTTTTGAACAAAGCACTCTAACGGGGAGAGGTATGTCTTTCAAACAAATTGTGCTGGAATGACTGAGTATCACGGGAAGAAAACTGAGCTTATCACACAAATGCAAACAGTAATACACGTTGGATCCCAGACCCAAATGTAAAAGCCAGACTCATGAAACATTTAAAACAAAACATTAAAGGGTGGGAGGGGGAGGGGAAGCTAGTTAATTAGCTTTCTACCTCTGCTCATCAAGACACTTTTAGGCAAGCCACAATCTGGGCAGGGGGCAGGGGAGGGTCCATGATCCTATTCCAGCGCGTACCTTGAACTCATCCGAGATTTCAGACACGAAAGAGGAGATCTGCTTCATGAGCCTGTCCACGCTGCTCTCGCTTCCCGTTTTGAGGAGTGTGGTGATGGCCAAGGTCGCAATGCTCCTGTTGGAGTCTGTGATCAAGTTTTCTAAGTCCAGATTGCACGCAGTCACTGCAGAGGGGTGCTTCATTGCCACCTGTGGCAGGGAAAGAAAAATTTAAAAGAAAAGAAAAGAAAAGAAAATTTCTGCAATTGACAAGAGCCAGAACTTTATAAAAACAAAGGGAGGGCAAAGTGGAAATCTGCACTAAGCGGGGGCTTTCACAGTGAAAATGGGGGAGGGGAGACTGTTCAGGTGCGAGACCACAGGCAGGGCCCCTATGCAGCCCCCGGGACAGCCCCTGTGACCTCGAATCCCTGCCCCAGTGGGTGGCCCCTGACACTATCTGCCTGAGTACTGCTGGACACGTCCCATATAAAAACAAACTTAGGAGCTCTAAATAAGATAACTTGATAAAGCTAAAACAGGACAGTGATCATTCCAGTTGATAAGGTTTGTTAGATAATGCCATCTGACAAATTATACCTGCCACAGTATAGCACTGCCTTCTCTGGCTACACTTCTATAACAAGGAACAGAAATCGACCATGCCCTTTTATTAGAGCTGGCCTGTCTTTCCTTATTGTACATGTGTAGTGTACATGGTTTATTTACTCTGCTGAATATTAAGACCTTGGAGGCTAGGAGTTAACATGGTAAATATTACTGAACTCACATGGCTGACAATGTAGCACTTAGAAAACTTCTGTATTTAATTGAACTCTAGCTGAACTGGATTACCAGGGGTCATTAAAACATGTCTGTCAATCTATTTCTTTTTAGTTCGCTTTTTTTTTTTTTTTTTGCCACACTTGAATGTTCTGGGTCTACTCCTGACTCTTCACTCAGAAATCACTTCTGGCAGGGCTCAGGGGACCATATGGAATACCAGAGATTGAATCGGGGATGGCTGTGTGTAAGCCTTATCTGCTGTACTACCACTCTGGCCCCTGTCCTTCTATTTCTTTGACAATGCTGGTCACCCCTCTGCCTGTCCCAACCAAGAGGTACAAAATCTCTTACACTTTCAAAATATATTTACATCAGCGAAGTGCAAGAGTGTAGTAAAGGAATATAAAATATAATTTGGATTACTGTTCCATGACTGCTCTAAACTTCTTTTTCCTCCAATTGTTGATATACTCATACTGCCAAATGACAAGTCTCCTGCTATATTAAGCTTTTATTTTAAATGCTTATGGCTAATTTATTCTGCTACGGTGGACCTATGTCATCCAATATGGTAGCCACTAGCCAATGTGACAACGATGAAATGTGACAAACTGAGACATGCTCTAAATGTAAAATACAAACCGAAACTCAAATACACAGTAAAATATTGAAGTATATTGGAAAAAAAACCGAAGGAAAAGGTGAAAAAGGAACGCAAATTGAAATTTTATCTTAAATACTACAATGTAAGTTTCCTTAACATTATTCATTATCTACGTGACTTACATTGTGTCACTGTTGAATAATGTTGCTGTAAACTACTGTTACCTGCAGAGATGGAACTATTCTCTATCTCCAGTGTTTACCATGACAGTCACTACATATATGTGGTTACTGAGCACCTTAAGTGTGACTAGTGACTAAGGAACTGAATTTTAAATTATATAACATTTTTTATAATATTGTAATATAGTATATAATATTAATTCCAGGAATGGTGATTCCATATTTTCACACAGAAAATGATCATAGTAAATCGAGTTAACAATTGTCACCAAAGGCCAGAGATACGGTACAGCAGGTAAGAAGCTTGTCTTGCACACAACCAACTTGGGTTCGACCCCTGGCACCACATATGGACATATGGTTCCCTAAGCACTTCCAGGAGGTGCCCCTGAACGCAGGGCCAGGAGTAAGCCCTGCCAAGTGTAGCGCCCCCCCCCCGAAAGTCCCCCCCCACAGGGACTTAACTGGCTTAACAGCTTAACTGGCTACACTGTGCTTTTAACAGGAAAGTTCAGACCACTGACATTTATAGTAATTGAAGAAATTTGTTGCCACTTCTCCATGGGAATGGGATTTCAATTGCTTTTGCCATCTGATCTTTTTTTGGTTTTGTTTTAAATGGGAGGCCATTCAGTCTTCCTAACAGATCTGGTTCTGATGTGACAAATACTCTCAGCTGTTTGAGAATATATTTTATCCTTTCAAATCTGAGTGATAACCTTGCACAGGAAAGAATTCTTGGTTGAGAGTTCTTTACAAAGTTCAGCACTTTGAACATATATTCTCTTCTTACTTATAGAGTTTCGGTTTAGAAGTCTGATGTGAATCTAATGGTTTCTTCTCCCTTAGTCCAAGTCCTTGCTGTTCTCCTCTTTAAAAGAGCCTATCTAGGGGCCGGAACGATAGCACAGTGGGTAGGGGGTTTGCCTTGCATGCGGCTGACTTGGGTTCGATCCCTGGCATCACATATGGTCCCCCAAGCACCGCCAGGAGTAATTCCTGAGTGCAGAGCCATGAATAACCCCTGAGCATCGCTGGGTGTGACCCAAAAAGCAAAATAAATAAATACAAGAGTCTGTCTCAGGAGCTGGAGCAATAGTACAGTGGGTAGGGCATTTGCCTTGCATGCGGCCGACCCAGGTTTGATCCCCAGCATCCCATATAGTTCCCCAAGCACCACCAGGAGTGATTCCTGAGTGCAGAGCCAGAAGAAATCCCTCAGCATTGCTGGGTGTGACCCAAAAGAAAAAAAAATGCCTATCTCAGCCTTTTGTTCTGTCACTAATTACAATGAGCTCTGGTGGTGTTTGTGTGTGTCTACCTTAACTAGGACTCTTCCGGTCTCTTGCATGAGTGCAACCACCTCCTGGGTGGGGAAGCTCTGAGCTATCGCTGCTTCAAACAGAAATCATTCCCCTTTCACGCTTCCTCTCCATCTGGAATTCTTAAAATTCTGAGGTTCTTCCTCTTGATAGTTTCCACTCTATCACTAACATGCTCTTCCTTTTCCCCTCCATTTCATTTCCACGCTCTCTTCTTGATCAGTGGGCACTGATTTCACTCCCAGCTACACCCATTCTGCTGCAGACACGGCTGTACTCCTTAGCTCTTCCAATTCAACTAGCTTGTTTTTCATTCCCCAACAACCCCATCTCCCACCCCCCCTCAGAGTCTCTTCAAGCCTCAAGTGATCCTTTCAGATCACTTAGCCCTGGGAGGCTTTTCCTTGGGCAGCTGATGGGTCCGATGAGGGGATCTTCCTAAGGTTTCGGCATCAACTGCAGACTGACTTCCTCTGTTTCTACACCGCTCCCGGTCCTCTGCAGGGTCCTGAGGCCTCTCTCTGGGTTTGGCCCAGCTCCCTCCCAGGGGGTGGGGGCTGGGTGAAGGCAGGTGGCATGCAGGCTGCTGCTGTCTACAGGTCCAGGGGTGGGGAGCATCTCTCCAGGTCCAGCACGGCTCCTCCTGGGCCCAGGGGTACTGAGCCGTTCACCTCTTCCACACAGCCCCAGCTCCCACCTCCAGCAATGTCCAACCTGTTCTTGCCCTACAAGCCGTTCCCAAGGTTCCGCATACAAGCGAGGGTATATGGCATTTTTCTTGTCTTCTTCTGACTTAACGCATGCAACATAAAGTTCTACCCATGATGCTGCAAATGGCAAGATTTCCCTCTTCTACGACTGAGAAAACTCTATTTATATGTACCATGCGTTTCTTATTTATTATTTAAATGTAGACAAAAGCCACAATTCTAGAGTTGAAACTGATAACAGAGCTCCAACATTAAAATCAGTAAGTTATATCTGATTATCGGGCTGTTAAGTCCTTGTGTAAGAATTTATTAAGCTGTTTGTTGCAACTGGAGTTTTCTGTGTTGCCGGTTTTGTTTGCTGAGTTTAGTTGGCTTCTATTACTTTCCCATCTAATTTGGTAAGCTCCTACTGGAATTCCGGCATTGAACAATTAGGAGACGACAGGATCTATGGTCTGGGCCAATAAGCTGTCATGGAGGGGCTGTGGGAGGTGGGTGTTGTTGCCGGGGTTTCCAAAAGTACTGGGGGGGGGAAGGGGAGGCTGCCCACCCCAACTCTGAGAAACACCAGAGTTCTCAGCCTAGGCACTGGAGTATCTGAAATTATTCATTTTGGTGTATCTGCAGAAAATATCCATGAAGCAGTGGAGCTGAGCCCTTGGTGTGTTTGCAGCAGTGGGGTGTGGGTGTGGCGATATACCACACTTTTTTTTTAAATCAATTCATCAATAAACAAGCTGCTTCTGGATTTCGACTATTATAAATAATGCTGCAAAAATTAGAGGAGTCGTGTGCATGTTCTGAATCACTGTTTCCTCACGTGAACTTCTACAGGTGGAATTACTTTGGCAACTGGTCATTCTATTTTAATTTCTTGAGGAACCGCCACACTATTTTCCACAGTAGCTGCACCAACTCACTGTGTCATGGGTGCCTCAAGGGTGCCCTTTTCTCTACATCCTCCCCAGAATTAACAAATCAGGAACCTGTTCACTCTGTCTCTTTCAGGGACAGTCACTCTAACAGGTGTGAGGGAGTATCTAATTGTGGTTTGGCTTTGCATTTCCCTGATGATAACCCAAGTGGAACATCTTTTCAGGTAACTGTTAAGCCCCTGCAGGTCTTTTTTGGGAAAATGTCTACTCAGATCCTCTGCCCATTTCTCAATCAGACTGAGATTTTATTCCTATGAAGCTGGATATTAACCGTTTAATGGATAACATGATTTGCAGTTACTTTCTCCTATTCCGTAAGTTGCCGTTTCATTTTGGAGGTCACTTTTATGGTTTTTTGTTTGTTTTTTTTTTCCAGCCCATACCTGGAAGGGCTCAGGGCTTACTCCTGAAACTGTGCTCAGGGATAACTCCTGGCTGGGCAAGGGGGACCATCTGTAGTGCTGGACATCAAACTTGGGTCAGTCACGAGCAAGACTTCCCACTGTACTATCGGTCCAGCCACTTTTTCATTTTGTTGATTTTTTTTGGGCTGTGTACAGCTATATATATATATTTTGCTTTTTGGGTCACACCTGGCGATGCACAGGGGCTACTCCTGGCTCTGCACTCAGGAGTTACTTCCTGGCGGTGCTCGGGGGTTACTCCTGGTTCTGCACTCAGGAATTACTCCTGGCGGTGCTCGGGGGACCATGTGGGATGCTGGGAATCGAACCCAGGTTGGCCACATGCAAGGCAAATGCCCTAACCGCTGTGCTATCACTCCAGCCCCGTGTACAGCTTTTGAGTTTGATGTAGGACCACTTGTATGTTTCTGCTTTTGCTTTTCATGTCAGATCCAAAATATCATCTCTGAGAGACTCAACAATAAATCTCTCAAAAGAGAGCACAGAACGTATGCTACAGAGATGCCTCCAGAACTGACACCAGGCTGTTTCATTTGGGGCAAGCTGGAGGGGGACAGGTGATCTCCCCTCCCCACTCCAATGGAGCCAGTCCTAGCAGCCAAAAACCTCCAGAACTCAACAGTCGCCATGCTCATGGCCACTCTCCACACACTCGGCGGCCTCACCCAAGAGTGAATCTATTCCTGGACCATGTCTCATACTTTACACCACTGATATACCAAGAGTAGTGCACCACATTTGATAGGATTTAAAGTAGGAGGCAAAATATATGTGTGTGTGTGTGTATATATATATATATACACACACACACACACACACACACACAGATATAGATATAAGCACACAAGGCTCAACCTTTAACAACATGTTACTAATCTCTTATACAAGGGCCTAATGGCTCCTCGGTGAAATACAACAAACTCACCTCTAAGAAAACTTTTGTGGAATATTCATAACATGCAATAAAAAATAAATTACTTCTGTTCTGCTTTGGGGCAAGGTTTGGAGTTTGGGATGGAAATATTTGAAATGTGGTGGGAATGTAAATATAGTAGTGGGATTGGTATTCAAATATTAAATGTAATAAATTATTGTGAACAACTTTATAAATATTAAATTAAATTAAAAAATATCATCTCCAAGACCAATACCAAAGAATCTACCACCCAAATATGTTATCTTTTTGGAGTTTTCAGGTCTTATGTTAAATTCGCTAAGCTATTTTGAGTTAATTTCTGTGTGTGGTATAAGATAGTGTCCAGTTGCTTTTATTCTTTTTTTTATAGGTCTATGGGATAAATTAATTAGAGCAGTAAATAGTCTTAAGGATTGGTAACACTTTGGCACTGTCCTCCCACTGTTCATTGATTTGCTCAAGCGGGCACCAGTAACGTCTCACAACAAACTGTGAGACTTGTTATTACTGTTTTTTGGCATACAGAATACATCATGGGTAGCTTGCCAGGCTTTGCTGTGCAGCAGGTGAGATACTCTTGATAGCTTGCCAGGCTCTCTGAGAGGGGCGGAGGAATCGAACCTGGGTCAGCTACATGCAAGGCAAATGCCCTACCGACTGTGCTATCGCTCCAGCCCTAAGGATTGGTATTCCTAGATATTATAATTTTAAAAAAAAATTAATGAAATCATATCTAAAGTTCCTTTATTTCCTAGTTTTATTCTTTTACATGTGGTCATCTAGTTTTTCCAACACTATATCCTACAGAATTTGTCCATTTTATTGTATATTCTTGATTCCTCTGTCATAAATCAACTGACTTTGGATGTGTAAGTTTATTTCGGGGTTTATTGTTTTATTGATCTACATTTGTTTTTACACTAATACCATATTGTTTTAGTATAACCCTAGAAATATATCAAGGAGTGTGAATCCACCAGCTTTATTCTTCCTTGGGATTAGTTTGACTATTCACTTACTGTCTTCTGTGGTTCCATACAAAATTTAGGACTGTTTGCTTTTTAATTTTAATATATTTAAAGGGAAACAAGCACAAATGACTGAAAGATGCCACATCAGACCATAAGCTCCTGACTATGAGGCGCTCAGAAGTCAGAAACAAATTATAATCTTCCGCCGAATAACAGTTAAGACAATCACATCACACCCAAGAGCAAACAAGCCACAGAGGTGCTCTTGGTCTATCACCTACTGCCCTAGGAGAAGGCACCAGAGAAAGGCCAAGAGGGAGTGGACACTTCATATCTCACGCTTCTCGATCAGACACTGACTCACAGCATTCAGAGGGACACGCACCTTGTTCAAGGTCCTCACAGCAGCGTATCTCAGAGCTGGCTTTGGAGAGCTGCAGAAAAGCTGAAGAACTGAAAAAGATGAAAAAATGCCCTGAACACCTCTCAGCTCATGACATGGACATCGACAAAGTAAAGAATTGCATTCAAAATAAGCGTGAGGAAGTTGGATCATAGCACCAAAAATCCACATAAAAATGATATTAAAAACATAAAGTGAAAAGTTTGGTTCAGCTATAGCAACTCTCAATAGGGAAAAACATTATTTCTAAATGAAATACCCATTAATCTTTGAGTATAAATTATAGAAATGTTCAGAGTTTCATCACACACACACAACACACACACACCTAAAATGGGCTTTGTAAACATTAAGGAGAACTGAAGAAATTAAAGTTACTTCTTCTAAGTAAAACCCTTTACAAGAAAAAAGGGTAACTTCAGAAAAAAGACACAGTTAAATAAAGAAAAACTCAAATTAAACCAGAAAAGAGACCTCCATGGGCTGAGTGCATGCCTTGCATGCGGGAAGCCTGGGTTCAACTCCTGGAACCCGCATTGCCCCCAGAGCACCACAGGAAACCGCCCATCATGAAGCCAAGAGTAGCCCCAGCACTGCTGGGCGTGACCCCAAACCCAAAAACAAAAGAATGAAAAACAAATAAGGAAGCTTCAAAAATCACCTTGACATACTTGGCATCCATCCTGCAGGCTTAAGAACCTTAAGCAAATACAGAGCGAGACAGACAAGAGCCCCTTGGGTATGGACTCACCGGAAACAGCAGGTGCCAACTCGCGAGCACTACAGTTAGGAAGATGGATGATGGCTGAAGCCGCTTCATAAATAACCATCTCGTGCTTATTTCGCAAGCAGCTCTCAATAAAGTCAAAGAGTGGACTTTCATGGCTGAAAAAAAAACCCAAAAAACAACAAAGAAAGCATGCACGGATGTAGGATAACACTCTTTTGTCCTTCCTTAGGTAGCTTAGGTTTGTCAGGTCGCACCCATCTAAGGACACTGAACTTGTAAGCAATGTCCTTTCTGTGTGGACACAGGAAGACAGTTAATATTATGCTTTGTAACTTGGGAGTTAATTGACTCTGAATAATATTTACTCCTGGGCATCTGATTTCTTGACTCAGTTGCCCTTAGTTCCTAGCACCCCAAAAGCAGGGTCCCGATGAGGGACTGAATGGACCCAGGGCAAGCGGTGAGCTACCCTGGCATCGAAATGGGCCAGGCCAAAGCGCCACAATACTGAACTATAAGTTGAGGGCATGATCATGGACAAATGCTGTCATGATCCAAAAGTAAGTAACGACGAGACTAGGACCCTGCTGGAGCTAGGAAGATTAACCTGGCCTGAGGACTGCGGAATGTATAGTGAGATGTTCTCAGGAAGAACCAAACTAAATTTATATCTCTTACTGTGCTCATACAGAATGACATTGCTAGAAATATTAGAAGTAGATTTATTACAACTATTTAAGTAGATTACTAACTGAGGGAAGAATACACCCTTGTTGGGATCCCACCCTTGAGTGGATCTCCTAGTAATCTGAAGTAATCTCTGTAGATGAGATTTTATCCTTGAGTTAATCTCCTGGAGGAGTGGTCTTACCTCTCTTTGTTGATTCGTCAGTATTCAACCCACCTTTATGCCACCGCCTTATGTGACTGCTATATAAATTAAGACGTAAGCTCGGAGAGGAGAGTCAGAAGCGAGAGAGCTCGGGCTCCAGAGATCCAGAGTCAGAGCCAGAAGGAGAGAGGTTCCAAGATTGGGGCCCAGGAGAGAAGGAGGCAGAGAAAGATAGGAGTGAAGAGGACTGGAATAAACTACTATTGATATAGACCGGCCTGGCCCTCGTTTCTTCTTCCGTCTGCCCTTGGCCAACAACCGTTCAGATCCAGGCCACATACAGCGGCTCAAGAGCACTGAACGCGGGCGGTGAGACAGTGCCATCCAGTGAGCCCATGAACACACAACCTTCGGCGTGATAAGATTTTACACACGGGCATCACTTGGATGTTAAAAAAAAAAAAAGAGGCAAGAAATAGACTGAAGAAGCACTTCTAGAAGATGCAGATAAGCACTTCTAGAAGCATGTATGAAAGTCCCTTGAAAATTCACACCCCCCTATAAAAGCAGCTCTACTAGTGGCCAGGCACTGTCAAAATCGACTTTTTTGATACTTTAGACAACAGCCCAAGTCTTTGCACTAATTCTAGCAACATTACTTCAAGAGAAACAGACAACTCTTTGTAAGCACTTTGTTGACTTTCTCCCTTTGCCACTTCCTCCACCACCATCCCCTTGTCCTGGCTTAGCAGCAGCCCAGGCAGCCTGAGGCTTCACAGCCACAGCCACACTGAGCGCTGGAAGCCGAGAGCCCTGGACGTGGCAGATGAAAAGGCTGGAGAGACAGCAGAGCGGGCTGGGTGCTTGCCTCACACTCAGCTGACCTAGGGCTCAATCCTCAGCACCCAGTATGGTCCTCGGAGCACTGCCACAAGTGATCCCAGGAATAAGCCCTGAGCACAGCCAGGTGGACCCTTCTGCCCTCTCCCCCTCCCCCCAAAAAAGGTAATGTTCAAGAAGGCCGCCAGTTACAGAGATGGCTACAAGCCTGGCCCCAGAGAACTGCCACTACTAGGCTCAGCTGGGACTCCACCGCAGGGATCCAGCCGCAGGGCTAATCTTTATTCTGACTAGAAGCTCAGTTCAGGAGGCAAGGCCCTCTCTTACAGGATGGTCCTGCCCCACATCAGCAATGATTATTTAACAGTGCAGTTGCCAGAGCAACTAGCAAATAGCAACAACAACAATAATGACCATAATAAATAATAAATTTAAAATGCAAAAGACAAATTCAAGGAATCAGACGTCCGTGGAGGACTCTGAGAATTTCTGACCTCGTCTGGAAACTTGGAGGATCGTAAGCATGTTCAGGACTGTGCAAATGCCCTGCAAAGACTGCAGAAAGCCCAGTCTCTCTGCTCGGCCTGGTTCACGGAGAAAGTGAAATGAAGGCCGAGCAGGGAAGGCCCACACCGAGTGCCCACAGCAAAGGTGGGAGGGGTCTGTTGGCTTCAAACATTTATGAACATCTGTCAGAGCGCTATGAGACCACTCAGCTAGTCACGCAGAGATTTCAGAAACCACACAGAGCAGAGAGGAAAGACCAGAACTTAGTTTGGTAATGTTCCTTAAAATAAATAAAAATAAATGAATAAATAAATAAAAGGATAACCTGCAGCAAGGATAACAAACTGGAAGGATGGGGGAAAAGAAATCTAATGACCAGAGTGACAATATTATTTTTAGTCACTAGTTCTCGGTGAATAATATGACATAAAAAAATAAATGAAGGACACCCAAATTGTGGGGGACAAAAGGCTAGAATAAGTCAGCAGCTAGCATGAGAAATAGAATTCATGATGGCTTTTATTAGGGAAAAAGTAAATCAGCTAATAAATGTTCAAAGGAGAAGGAAACTAAGCCTGCCAAGTTAAAGGAGGTGAGAGAGAGAGAGAGAGAGAGAGAGAGAGAGAGAGATGGGGTGGGGGAGAGAGAGAGAGGGAGAAGGAAAGAGGGGAGAAGAGAGAGATGAATAGGGGGAGAGAGAAGAGACGGGGAGAGAGAGAAGGAGAGAGTGGGTAGAGGGGAGGAGAGAGAGAGAGAGGGAGGGAGACAAAGTTCTCAGTGGACAGAGCACATGCTCCTGTATAACGTCTCCAGAACCAGCACCACCTGGGCCCCAGAGCTCAGAGTCACGAGTAGCCCCCAAGCATCACCTGTGGTCTAAAACCCAAATACACCAACAGAAAGACGTGACATCGTTATATTCCAATACAGGTACGTGCTCAATTCCTCTGTCCATTCAGATGAACCTTGAAATTAACACGTTGTGATTTTCTTATTTTTCCCCCTCTGGTTTATTTTACTCCATCCTCTTTTCCCCACCCCCCGCCCCACTCCCTTCCCTTTGGGACAAAGGCTCCCGCAGGGGAGGGGGAGCAGAGCCTTGGGGGCAGGGCTGCCCAGTGCTTGCCCAGCGGTCTCCGTCCCTTGGTGCTGCTCCTGCACATTTCCGTCCTGGGGCTCACTGAGCGGCTGCATGCTCGGCTGCGGGGCTCCCACATGGGCAGTGCTCTGGAGACCACCCAGTGCCCCAAACAGCAGGGGCTCTCGGGACTGTGCGAGCACGGTGGGCAGTGCCAGGGACTGAGCCCAGGGTCTCACCGCTGCAAGGTTGGCACTCTGTTCTCCCCTGCCTTCTGTAATTTTCCATATATAGATGTACACTTTTTTTTTTCACATGTACTAAAGATGTACGACTTTTCCCTAAGGATTGGGTTTTGATACATTTCTAGTAACATGTTTTCAAGATTTTATCAAATCAATTGCCTGCTGAAATAAAATCCATTTGAAGCAAAATCCATTTGGAGACTGACCTATCCAGCAAGCCTGGAAAATTCGATGTCCTAGGGCTAACAGTACACAGACTATTTTTACATTTTCTATAGACATGATCGCACTGTCCACAGGGTGTCGTGTCCTCAAATCTTTAATGTCTTCCATCTTGACTTACTGTGACAAGTGAGACTTCTAGTAAAATGTTACTTAAAGAAACAAGTTTTGTACACATGCTGCTCTCATTTACAGTTTCAAGGGGGAAAAATAATTCACTGGTTAGTATTAACTCTGAAGATTTTTCTTGCACCTTATCAGAACAATGACACTCCTTTGATTTGCTACTTTATGTTTTAATCACAAATGTCAATGAATTTTATTAACTGTTCTTTTGGTATCCATGATTTTGGTTTTCTGCTTTAATAAATAAAGTCTGTTAGGCTGACTTTTTACTGTTAGATCAATTTTGCACTGATTGAAGTTATGAGAATCAACACAGAGTGGAAAATAGTTTTTTAATTATTATTATTGTTTTAGCTTCATCCTTTCATGTCTTCCTATGGATTTCCAACCATATTCCAAGTGGTAGATGACCGAGCATCAATCCTGCTGTTCTGAGACTATTTTTCTTCATTCTGTTTCCAGAAGAGCTATTGTCTGTCACTCTATTTTCAAATATACCCTTGTACACTTGTTACATCCAACCAGCAAATATCCACTTCAGTTAGGGCACTGGGATCAGGCAGAGTGACCCCACTGATGTGGGTGCATCCAAAGGGTCTGGGACTATGTAACATTACACGGAAGAGAACATGACACCTGGGCTGGCTGTGAACAAGACAACAGAGATCTGAAAGTCTATGACAGGGTTCTGAAACCTTTTCCTCTCACAATTCAGCCTCAACCAAGACACAACACCTGGGTGAGTGCTGGCAAAAGCATCTTGGATTCATTACACATTTGATTTTTAATCAATCTGGGGGTTACAATTAATCAACTTTAATTTTATGCATTCAGAAACCTACTGTGGCAAGAATGGTTGGTGATACCCACGGGGTTGCAGCTACACAACCCCATGTTCTGAACGTGACCACAACGCAAGAAGATCCACCACTGCAAAGAAATGAGAGGCCGGAGAGGTAGGAAAGGGCTCAGCTCCCGGTGCTTGCCCCACACACAGCCAAGCTGGGTCCATCCCCAGCATCTCAGATGATTCATTCCTCAGAGCGCTGCCAGGGACATTCCTGGAGCACAGAGGCAGGAATAAGCCCTGAGCACAGCCCCCAAACCAAAACCAACAACAAAAAATAAAGTAGTATGGCCAATGGCCTCCAGAAGAGCACCCCAAAGCGTCCACGTCCTGCCAACAGACTGCACTGAACTCTTGGAGACCCAAATCTAACCCCAGGGATCTGTGAAATCACAGTGGATGCTGTGACAGACTTCCCATTACGGCTAGGATATTTTGTTATGGAAACAATTTAAAAAGGAGAAAAAAAAAGAGAATGCAGTTCTTGGTATTTAGAAGTGAGGTGCTGCTGTTAATAAATACCTAATAATGAGGAGCCAAGCTCTAAACTTGATCATAGTGAGTTGCGATTAATTTTCCCTTCTGTTCTTTCAGATCTATCGCTCTTTTGCTCATTTTCCTAGAGGCACCTCATACAAGTTGAAGAGCTTCCCAGAGATGTGTGTCAAGTTTAAAATTGATTTTGAGGGGCCAGAAAGATGGTATGGGGAGATAAGGGGCCTGCCTTGCACATGGCCAACCGGGTTTGGTCCTCTGCATCTCATATGGTTCCCTGAGCACCGCCAGGTGTGAGTCCTGAGTGCAGAGCCAGGGGTAACCTCTGAGCATCACCAGTTGTGGGCCCCCTGCTCCTACCAAAAAAAAATCCGATTTTGTGGCTGACCACATTTATGCTCCTTTCCAGGATTTCCACGGTAAATTTTCATCACCCTTCCAATCTCAAGCTGGGTTCTGACTCCTCTATTCAGTAAATTTGAATTTCTATGCTCTACATCCAGAATATAAACAAACAAGTCAGAGAAATCCATACTTTCTCCTTTTAGACATAAACTTCCTTCCAACTTCTGCCTGCTTTTCTGCACCCACTAGGACTTTCAAATAGTCCTGGGTTCTTTTGTTTGGGGAGACTTTTTAGGAACTAATGATATAAACATTATTTGCAGGAGTTCGAATGTGACCAAGTTATTCTACCATCACTGCAAGCAGAAAGCTCTGCTGAATATTTTTTAATATTTCACTTTATTTTCTCCATTGGCATTTATATATCCTAGTAGTTTTAGTGTTACTTAAGATATAACAATATTAATTCTCATATTATCATAGTCTACTATAAAAAACACTATTTCATAAACAATGTAAGAACCTTACAAATGTAATTCCATTTTAATTACAATATTTTAACATGTTTATGTACATTTAAACATTTTTATAAGTGATAAACAGGATGACCCTTTATGTCACTTCCAATGTTCACAACTATTATATATTTTATGATGCATAAATATTTTTGTTCAATTAGTTTATTACTGTTACTAATAAGCATAATCTATTAAGCACATTTACAAGAGTATACATTAAGGCTAAAAATAAGTAGTGTTATCTGCAATCTCTTTTCTTTCTTTTTCAATTTGGAAAACATCAAATCCATCCAGTCAACACTGCTCAAAAAATATTCCTAGAAGGGGTGCAGGATCGAGTACAGATATTAGGTTCTGTCCCTAGCACCATCTGGTTCCCATGGCACTGCTGGAAGATACCCTGGGGCCCCCAGCACTTTGTGGGGTCCAGGGATCCCTGGTACTGAGGTCCTGAGCCACCTTGCATTCTCAGGCCCTTGTGCAAACCACCATCCGTCTGGCTGAGAATCACTGGGGCCACCTGGGCCTCCAGAGCACCACTTTGAAAGCCCCTTTCGAAAATAAAAACCAGCGAGAAAGAGCAGAGAAATAGCATAGAGGGTAGGCACCTGCCTCGCACAAGGTTGATGTGGGTCAATTCCCCAGCACCCCACACACCCCAAGTACCTCCAGGATGACCCCTGAGCACAGAGCCAGGAGTAAGTCCTGAGCACCGCCAGGTATGGCGTCCGCCCAGAAAAATATCATAAAGGAAATTAATTCTAAAATTAATTAACCAGAAAATGGGGAAAAATGGTTTAGATAAAAACACTTACCCCTCTTCATTTTCTTTTAGCAAGCGACTGGCAATTCGGATCAGCATGCAATAAGCAAACTGTGATCTGAGACCGGATTTAGTAAATTTATTCAACATCTTAGTAACAGCAAGGCGATCGTTCCGTTTAAGGTGATACAGGACTCCCAGGGCATGATACTAAAGAACAAGGAAAAGACTGTAACATACCAGAAAGTTGGGCAGAAAGGAGAACAAAACAGAACCACCTGGAACTAAATTTCCCATAAAAAAAAAAAAGAGAGAGAGAGAGAGAGACTCGAGTCAAGAGTATACCAACAGACTTTGTTTTCATTTTGTTCTGGGTTTGGGGCCACACCCAGTGATGCTTAGGGGTTACTCCTGGCTCTGTTCTCAGGAATTACTCTGGGCAGACTATATGGGATTCTGGGGATCGAACCTGGGTCAGTAGCTACCCGCTGTACTAGCTCTCCGGCCCCTAAAGCATTCTCTCACATTGCTCAAATACAAGAATGACTGAAAGTGTAACGCTTTCCACTTATCCCCCAGAAGCTTTAAATGCAGTGGGCCAGTACAGAAAAGGTGACACACAGTCTGGAGATGGCTCTGTCAGGCTCAGTATCGCCTCAGACCGCCTTAGCCAGTACAAAGGCTTTCGGCTCCCAGCCTTCGCTGTGTGAGATCTCTCCCGGGGTCTTTAAATCAACCATGACCATGTTCATGGTTCAAGTATTCATCTCCTAAAATGGGCTTTCAGGGTGAAATTATCATGGCTCTCTGCGTAAAATTCAATGATCAGAGGCACGAGAGTGAGATTATTTCCCAAGGGAGAAATTGCTACTCTATTTCTTCCTAATGGAGTACGTTCATATGAACAGCTGTAAACACTGAGCGGGGGAATCTAAGTGCCCTCTCAAATACCAATGGGGCACCTCGCATAAAGCTGCCAGTTAGGAAATTTAATCTTGTTCCTTTTAATAAGAAACAGACTGATGAGAATTAAAAGGAGATCCCTCCAATGAAATGGTTTTGAAGTGTCACTAAGTGAAAATCGCTCTCGCTCGTTTTACAATGCCTACTCTAAGCAAGACCTAAGTCTGGAGTTGGACATTCTTCTCCAGAAACTGGTTTTCAAATAAAGGCTTTGAGTGCACTGTGACGAACCTTCAGAATGAGTTTCTCCTACTACCACTGAATGTTAAGAATTTTTCTTGAACGGGGGTCAGCTTCTACCAGTCAACCCTGGGAGCCTAAGGCAAATACTAACTCTGGGGGTGCATGCTTCAGGTTAGGCACTATCTGGTACTTAACATTGCAGAGACCTTGCCTTAGCAGATGCCTGTCTGGGAAAACAATAAAAACTGCACCTACAAGGTTGGTTTAAAAGAAGCAGATCTTGAGACATAGCCAGCGTGATCAAACAGCAGTACCTGAACCATAATATTATCACTGGAAGCAGCTTCTTGGGCTTCATTGACCCAGCGTTTAACCACATCATGGCTTATCTTCATCATGTGCTACAGACAGAAGACATTGAGAACAACAACAATCAAAAAAGATCCATAGTCATTAGAAGTTTAGACATAAGAATCTGTTTTGGGGGTATTACTAAGAGACATTCCCAGAACAAAGGAAGTTTTCTCTAAGACCCTTTGACAAAGGTGAGTACAGACAGGAAGGAGTGGAAAGGACGTAATAAGAGGGAAAGAACAAAATAGAACATAGAGTGTGCAGAATAATATTTAAATAATGTTAACGGTATAGGCTCTACTTCCAGAAAACTCATTTGTAAGAAAAAGGATTCCAATGTATTTCCCGCTGGAAATGTTGATCTGTTTTTTGCCCTGTTTTGGAGGCCACCCCAGCAGTTTTGACTTGGTGCTGGGAGGGGCAAAGGCATATCTGGAAATGCTCAGAGAAACCGCAGGGTGCCAGGGATTGAGTCGGGCCTCCTTCATGCAGTGTCCAGCCCAGTGAGCCATCACCCAGGCTCTAGAGATCTTGTTTGTTTCTACCGAAAGACTTAACCGATTATATTCTAGAACCCAAGAATTCCAATAACTCGGATCACTTAGCCTACTCATACACTGGTAATCAATTAAAAGCAATGTGATAAGTTATAATGGATCATTTTTATTTTTATGGACAAGGAAGAAACGGTACATTGCTGGCACAATACAGCAATATAACACAATATCACGCTTTCTGGAAAAAACTCGGATGTGGAACTGCTTTCAGAATTCAGGAGGTGTGGGGTACTGATGAGAGGGCAACCAGGCAAAGGCAGAAGTGTAGGTCAGCCACTCAAAATATTCTAAGACAAAGCTCCACCCCTGCTCCCCCCTACCCCCGCAGCTCCATTGTAGGCCCTCCCCTCAATATTATATGTACAATGGACCATTCTGGTTACCCACACCTTTCAAACTTGGGAGAAGTCCGTGTTTTTTAACGGCCCATTTTTACTGTCTAATACTCTTGCAGATTAAATACCTTTAGACACTAAGTATAAGGGGCATATACATATCCCTCCCACCCCCCCCCAGCCAGAAATATCTTCAGTGTGAAAAGAATCACTGTGACCCTTAATTTTCTCCATCTGTGAACCCCGGTAAGAGGCAGCTGCTCGCTCCCTTACCAAGGAGGAGACCAGCGCTGAGCTGGAGACGCTGGCGACCTTGTCCACGATGGCCTGTTTCATGTACCTTTCAATCGCTTGCAGCATTGTTCCCTAATTGGAAGGAAAAGGACTGTTGAAAACAAAGGTTCTCATACAAAACTACCACTTCAAAATTATGGAACAATAACAACAAAAACCCCACTCATGCAAATAAATACTTATCTGCTTACTGTGAAAATATTTAGAATGCATTAAAACAAGGACTAGAGTAATCCCATCCCAGAGAACAGAAGAGAACTCAGAAAACCCAGTTAGAAGGCTCGAGGAGGAAAAGAGTGGCCGTCCCATAACAAATCATCTCCAGGCCTGGAGGAAAGATAAAAGAAGTTGAACCTTCAAAAGGATAGTATAAAAGATGACACTACTTGCCAATGTGTTTGGGGGCCCCACATATGACCCTCAGCCAAACACAGCCAGTGATTCAATGCAAGCGCCTGAAGGCGTGATGCGGTTTGGATCTCAGTTGCAGGGGGTAGGGGACATCCGGGCACCCAGGACCACTTCCAGCAGTGCTGGGGGCCGCCAGGACTGCTTTGGGCCACAGATGGTGAACTGGAGGCAGATAATGCTAGGCACGCACCCTCACCTCTGTCCTAGCTCAGGGGCCCAGCAACAGGTCTGCAAGTTCGAAGGTATCTCTTGGTAAAGGGCAAATATTTCATGTTTCCCAGAAAGTCTCATGAACCAGATGGAATCTCTGATGGTCAGAAGCATGAGAAATTCTATGTGGAATATCCTAGAGAACATAGAAATTTTATGTGGAATATACTGGGTTCAGTTCTCTACAGGAGAAAGCTCTTTTTGATTGTTTGCCCGGAAGAAGCTCTGCGTGGGAGGTGGTGTCATGGAAGGACACGCACACAGGATCAATGAATGAAGAGTTTTACTATTAGCACCACACCATCAAATCTTAGGCTACCTATTCAGTGTCAAACACAATAAAAAGAGCTGAAGGGCAGACAGTATCACACCACTTCTATTACACCGTCTAAGATCCAGATTTACCACTGGATCCTATTCAACCTTTAAAAGTCGAGAAGACTGCAGTGTGTGTGTGCGTGTGTGTGTGTGTGTGTGCGTGTGTGCGTGTATGTGAGTGCGTGCGCATGCATGCATATATACACACAGATATATGTGTATACATATACATGTATGTGTGTATTTATATACATAAATATAAACACACACACATATATATATATATATAGATTCAATAAATATATTCAAACATGGAGAGAGTTGAAAAATTATTCAACTCACTTGGTAATGCCCAGCCTGTGAGCTGAATGTAAGATTCATTTTAAAAGATTCAACAATTCATTTTAGTCCTTCCTAGAAAGAGATGGCCCAGGGTACTAAGTGGGCATTCTTGTGGCTGCAGTGATATATTACAGTGGGCAGGGATCTTGCCTTGCATGTGGCAGACCCAGGTTTGATCCCCAGCATCCCATATGGTTCCCCCAAGCCCGCCAGAAGTACTCCCTGAGCGCAGAGCCAGGAGTAAGTCCCTGAGCACTGCTGGGGGTGGCCCAAATCTCAAAATAATACTAATAGTAGTAGTAATATTATAAATGGTCATTCTTCAACCACCACAGGTAGAGGCAGGTTGAAAACCACTAGCCTGTCACCTCAGTTAGGGCTGCTAAGTCTAAGGACCCTATGCAGGACAGGTGTTGGTCCATGGGTATTAAGAGGCTGAAGAACACTCTAGCACTCATCTCTGGAGTCTGAGTCAAGGTTGAGGGCCTGTCTCGGGACCAGGGAGGCAGTGCAGGGAGACATGACAGGGGCCAGATAGGAGTTCACTCCTTGGCACCTCCTGGGAGGCCCTGGCTGGCCAGGAACATCTGAGCAGCACTGCATCCTCAGGCCTTCAGGGCATGGCCAGACCCAGCTGGGTGAGACCTGCCGAGAGGGTTAGTAAACAATCAACCAGATTGTAACATTAAGTATCTGAGGACTCCTGCTGCTGAGTTCTACAGAGATGCCCTCTTTCGTGCTTGGCTATCTGGCTGCAACCTTCACCTCAAAATCTGAGAAATCTGCGCCCTGTAATACAGCTCTTAAATGACTTTTTATTTCCTGCAAGGAGTATGACAAAAGTTCATGTGAAAAAAAATACAGAGAAAATGTTAAATTTGTATAAACAAACAAACAAATCAGAAAGGATGAAAGCCTGAAGCCATAAAGCTTTCCTGCTGCTCCCATTTCTCTTGCACTGAAGGTATCCCAAGATCATGTTAGGGACTTGGAGAAACTGACACGAAACTTGCAGATCCACAGGGTTCCCGAAGAGACCCAGTGACTCAGAGCACTTACGTCAGTGATTCTGCAGAGAGCCCTGATGGCGGGGCCTCGGTACACGTCTTCTTTCCCAGTCATGTCCTTGGTTAGGCTAAGAAAGTTCCAGTGAGTGAGCATGAGAACAAGTGCAATAAATCCTTCCCTCCTGATTCCAGCTCTTTCCAGAATGGTTTTCAAGCAGGCATAACAGATTCAACAAATAGATATTGAGCAAATTTTTCCCCCATAAAAAAATTACTGGGTGGAAGATTTACTTATTATTACTCTAAAGAATATATTACTTTGCACAGGTTTTGTGACCAAAATCTCCAGGCTCTCACGGAGTTCAGGATAGGCTACCTCCCCCCAACTCCCTGTTCTTCCGGGAGCCTGGTGCTCCTGGCCATAAACTGTCTCTGGCGCCATATAAGCACATTAACTGGTCTTGGTCCAGAGACTCATAAGTAAATCTTGGAAGAGATCAACAAGCTGCAGAGATGCTTTCAGACCCCAAAGTCACCATCCAGTTAAAAATTTAATTCTAGCTGTATCACCCCATTCAAAATTTTAGAATTCCTGGAGCACAGGACCACAACATCTCAAATTCTACTCTGCTAATATACGAGGAGTAGCACACAACAATGGCTGGGGTGTAAAGCAGAAGGCAACCAATCTCGATTAAGAACACATTAACACACAAGACTTAACCTGTAATGACATGTTAGTAAATCTCTTATATAAGGGCTTAATGGCTCTATGGTGAGATACAACAATCTTCACACACTTAGTAAACCTTTTTTGATCATTTTTAGCAAGTTATTCATAACAGGCAATATAATATAAATTATTTACGACCTGCTATTGGGACAGACTTCAGTGGTGGTTGAGAAAATTGGAAAAAAATGGTAGTGGGAAGGTGCAATGGTGGTGGGATTGGTGTTGGAATAAGGAAATGTAACAGATTATCACAAACAACTTTATGAAAATAATTTTTTAAAAAGAATATATTGCTTTGCTTTCAGAAAGCTTGCATTCTTGTGGGGAGAAATCAAATCAATAGATCTAATCTAATCAAATCATCAAATCAACAAATATACAGGTAACTTTAGATACTGGTTAGCACTGTAGCACTGTAGCATTGTCCTCCGGTTGTTCAACAATTTGGGCAAGCGGACACCAGTAACATCTCCATTGTGAGACTTGTTACTGTCTCTGGCATATTGAATATGCCACAAGGAGCTTGCCAGGCTCTGCCATGTGGGCGGGATACTCTCAGTAGCTTGCTGGCCTCTCCAAGAGGGAAGATACTGGTTACTAACATTAAAAAAAATAGATAATGGCACTACGAGCTTCCAAAGTAGGCAAATGCAGAGCACATGGTCTGGCTGTGTCTCTCTAGTTCATTCATCCTCCTCCCCTCTGTTCTTGGTTCACGGGCATTTATATACCCACAGACTACACTGACTCACCTCCTCTCTCACTCCGTCCCTGAACCCAGCCACATCGCCTCCAGCACCAACCCACTCCTTTAGGACACCGAGAGAAGAAAGGTGGGAGCAGCTGAGCACCTGAAACATCTTTTCTCACTCACAAAAATATTCCACTTATGCAACAACACTTTCAAAGTCTTCCAAACTATGATATGTGTAGGTATGGTCTCAACAAAAGTCAATGGCAATGCTCCTCAAACAGAATCATTGTGGACGTGGTTTATGCTTTGTTCGTTTGTTGGGGGGATGGTGAGAGGAGGGCTGCACCTAGGGGTGCTTAGGGCTTACTCCTGGCTCTTGGCTTAGGGGTCACTCCTGGGAGTGCTCAGGGGACTATATGCAGTGCGAAGATTTGAATTGCCACTGCAGCGGCATGCAAGGCAAATACCTGAACTCCTCTCTGGCTCCCACCCCGTTTCCCGTTTGTTAAAATGTAGGGTCATTTTCAGCAATCTGTACCTCCCTAGGCATTATCAATTACAACCAGACTTGCAATTATTTACACAGAGGTCTGTAAGTTCATCTCATGACTTCTTACATTTCTTGTTGTAATGATTATCTTTTTCCATGTCATTTTTTATTTTATATTGTTTCTACTTTCTCCTTTCTTGAACAGTGTGTCTGCTAGTTTGTCCATTTCGTTAATTTTTAAAAAAAATAACACTGATTTATTAGCAACGTTTTTCTTTTCTTTCATTCATTGAATTGTCCTTTTAATTATCTCCTATTTTGTTCTTTCTTTTGAATTTGTCTATCAACTAATTTCCTGAACTGGGAATTGTCATTCTTTTTATTATTTTCCCACTGATCGCTGCATTGAGTACATGTACATTTAATATACACAAAAGCATCAACTATGGAGCCAGTGAGATAGTACAGTGGGTAGGGCACTTCCTGCATGTGGCAAACCTGCATTCAATCCCTGATATCCCATATGGTCTGCCAAGTCCTTCCCAGGAGTGATACCTGAGCTCAGAGCCAGGATTAAGTAAACATCACCATTGTGGTCCCAAAACCAAAAAAAATCAAAGCAAAAAAAAAAATCATTTACTATATTTACTGTGTAGTGTTTTGTTGCTGATTTTTTTTAATTCTGCAAATTAAGTTTTTATTTCCTCTCTTGCTGAAGAAATGTTTAAACAGATTAAAAGATCTCCCAAGAGAAAAGTCTTTATTATTGCTAACGAATTCTCCTTTTATTGCACTGCAATCAAGGGGTAGTAGTATTTCTAATTTGAGTTACTTCCCTATCCTATGCCTTATGTTTTCTGTCTCCAACTTATTTGTCTTCATCTCATACACTGAAAGTGAGTTAATAAAATCTATTACAAAATGTTTCTAACTTACCACCTACAATTTTTGCCTCAAGTTTATTGCAGTGTTATTCTCTGCATAAATTATTAATGTCGAGCTCTTCATTCACAATTTCATCTTTAAATCACTACAAAAACATCCTTTCTTATGCTTAATGTTTTCAGCCTTACTTTATATTTTGTTTGGCATCTATTTTATCATTTTGTTCTATTTTTTTCTATCGCCTTCTGCTTTTGTGAATTACTGTATTTTAAAAATGTCTATTGCATACAGTATATTGTTAGGTTTTCTTTGTGAGCCAAACTGAAATGTGTATCTTTACTATATGTATATATAAAAATATATATATTATATACATAATATATATTTTATGTGTGTGTTAAGCACATTCACATTTATTATTTGGTCTCTGCTAATGTACTACAATATCCTAAACTATGCATATTCTGCAAAACTTGCCACATTTCTGCCAAGATTTGTTATTATTCTCATTTGTAAAATTCTGATATTTGGGGCCACACCTGGTGGTGTTTACTTAATCCTGGCTCTGATTGGCCCCCTGAGCATGACTAGGAGAGATACTTGAGCACAGAGCCAGGAGTAGCCCCAAAGTACCTACTGGGGTATGCCCTCCCAAAATGGGGTATTGAGGGTGGTAGAGGAATGGGTTTTTCTAATAAACGCTTTTGCAATTATATTCTGATTGCTTTAGTTCCTTATTTTCTCATTTAACTATAACTCATATCTGGAATAGTAGGTCATTATTTTTACGGCATCCTAACACCGAGGAAACAATGAGCTTTGTCTAATTGATGTACATCCTTCCTTCCCCATTTTTAACTGTACTGCTTTCTTGTTGAAATGTACAGCATGTCTAAATTAGTTTTCCATTCATGTTCACTGTTTCATTCACAAAGAACACTTAAAATTTCAAATTCTCAACATCAGTCTCTATAATGAAGCGTTCCCCGTCATTTGGTTGGATACAATTTATACGGGCGGGGAAACATTTGGTCTGGCTCTGGTCCAGGAGAGGACACACTTGTGGACATCTCTTCAGCTGCCCGTGGCCCATTTGCCTATATTGAATGGCCCACGAATGATGCTATAAATAGCCAAATTGCCTTTGTGGAAATAAAAGTCTCCATACCCCTGCTCTAGAAAGTTCCTCGGAAAGAGCATAATGGGAACAGAAATTCAAGTATTTCACAAAAGTCTTGATAAAACAGCTTGACTGGCTGTAGAAACCTTACTTCGTGCTTTCAATTAAATACTGCTGTAGTACTGCCATACTTTATCTGTTGATTTTGAAAAATCTGATGCGAAATTCTTTGCTCTTGTGTGACCTACTTGATCTTTTTTCACCAGGAAGTCTTAGTGATGTTATCTTTAAATTCTATTAGTTTCATACTGTATCTCAGAGTTGATAAATCTGAATTAATTTTCCACTTAACTGATAAAATTTTTCAATGTTTAGACTCAAGGCTTTTATTATTTTTGGAAAGTCTTTCTTGTATGATAGTTTAAAATGCTAGCTCTGCTCTATCATTTGATTTCCCTCCTGTCTTTGCGAATATAACACTGCATCTGGGGGTGCTCAGGGGTGCTCCCTGCAGTGCTTAGGGACCAGACAGCAGCGAAATTGAACCTCGACTCCCAGCAAGCACATAGCCCTCTCGTTCTCTTTCTCTGCCTTCCATCCCCAACAGGATCCCTATTTTCATTTCATTTACTCTTTCCTTATTTTATTTTTGTTTGTTTGGGGACCACATCGGCATTGCTCAGGGGTTACCCCTGGCTCTGCACTCAGGGATCACTCCTGGCAGGGGACCAAATGGGATGCCAGGGATTGAACCCAGGTCAGCCGCAAGTAGGGCAAGTGCCCTGCCCACTGTACTATCGCACCCAGTCTCTACTCTTCTTTCTCATTCTCTTCTTTGGTGTTTTCCTAAAGGTAAAAAAAAAGGTAAAGGCCCTCCCGTTGATCGTCGATTTGCTCGAGCGGGCCCAGTAACGTCTCCATTGGAGACTTTGTTGTTACTGTGTCTGGCATATCGAATACTCTCGGTAGCTTGCCGGGCTCTCCGAGAGGGGCGGAGGAATCGAACTCGGGTCGGCCATGTTGGCCGCTTGTAAGGCGAACGCCCTACCCGCTGTGCTATCGCTCCAGGTGTTTTCCTAGGTGCTCTTTATCAAAATTTTATGAGAATTTCAGTACGCCTTGTGATTTATGTATATATAAAGGTATAAGACCTGGTTCTTACTCTCAAGGTACAAACAGTACATGGGAGAGAAAAACAGGTAGAGG